AAAATAGAATTTCATCTAGATTTTTGTATTATAAATCTATTTACCAAATTTTATTTCAGTACGTGCAACCTCTGAAAAGAAAATGAACGAAAACAGCTTATTGTTGGAATTAATTTGAGTCCAAAGAACTCTGTCCAAAATGGCCCGATCTTACAATTGACAGAACTTGACCTAGATAATATTATGATAAAGAACTTTATTCGGTAATAACCAATATTTGCCCCCCGAATCAAACTTTGATGGAAATATATTTAGTTAAGTTCTTAAACAGGGGAGTATGTGCTGCCTTCAAAGCACTGAATATTTTCATAAGTATTGACGCCATATGTGCGTAATGACGTCACAAACATGACGTAAATTTCAGTTTTTTATGAATTTTACAGAAAAATGTACACATTTCGTCGATATTTTGAGTAAAAGTTACCGAGCGCATGTGTGTTCAGGATCAATATTTTGATATAATGTGTAGAATGATAATATCAATGAAATATGTCAATATTGTTCCTGAACAAACTTGCGCTCTATAAATTTTAAAGCTAAAATTGTTGAAATTTTGTCCATTTTGTCCTCTTTCTGAAAAAGGATATAAAATCGGACTAGTTTGTGACGTCATAAAAACAAAAATTTTGATTACACTGATTTGACACTATAATATTTTCTATTAATTTATATTCCTCATACAATTTATTGAATTCAGCACATTTCAGGAAGTTTTCAAAATTTGACTTTTGTGGGGGCAAATATATCCAATATACCGCATATAGTTCTTTGTGTATCAAATGTCATTTCAATTTGTGCCATCCCTCTGAAGGAAATAAACGGAAACTGCATTTTTTTGGAATTTTTCTCTAAGTCCAAGGGGCATAACTCAGAACTTTACATAGATTTTTTTTATAATAAATGTGTTTCTCAAATTTCATTTCAATCAGTGCAACGTTTGTGAAAAAATTAAGGGATACTACAAATTCTTGGAATTTTTCTAAGTCTAAGGGCATAACTCCGTCCAGAATGGCCTGGACGTACCCAAAACAAAAAATGACTTAAATACTTTATGGTCAATCTGAATACTAAACGTCACTTCGATATGTGCAACCTCTGAGAAGAATGTGAACGAAAACTGATAGTGGACCGACAGACAGACTGCCCTCGCAGCATTGTTAAGGCTTTAAAAAGGGGGCGGAGCCTAATTTATAGCGGAAATGTTTACTGTGACGTCACACACAAATACTTTCATTTTCTATTCCTCATAATACCAAAAAAATCAAATACTTTGCAATTTTAAACTGTATTAGCATAATAAACAACATCAAAACTTATCAATGCATTAAAAATAGTTGCTAGTTAAATCCCAGACAACAGTTTATAAACAAATCACTGATGACAGCAAACTTATCGATATGACGTCATTTTGGTAAAAAAAAAAATGACGTATATTATGTGCTTTGAAAGGCAGATCAAGTATAGTTTTTTACAATGTAAAATGCATTTTATTATCAGATACAATTTACAGATCTTAGATAAGCTATTAATACTAATGTAAACCTTTGTTTAGTGCCATTATTCAATGATTAGCGAGAGAATGTATGTAATTAATTTTACCGTGTTTATGTGTACAGGTTTGTCATGTTTAAATCTAGGTGGCTTATTGAATCGCCTTTTCGCAAGGGCATACACTTAATAGATGTTAACCAATTTTTGAATATAAATAAAGGATGGCTTCCTGAAGTTGAAAAGTGCTGCTGCTTTCTTTTAATCGAGAATGTAAATTGATAAGGACATAAAATGCTTGGTAAAGGACATACATATTTCGACTTCAAATTTCAACTAAGAAAATGCGATTTCTTTTTAAAGCAGCAGCACTTTCCAGAAAGTCCACAAAATATGCAGAAACAAATGGCAACTTAATTTTTATAATTTCAACTAGAGTATGCCCTTGCGATAATGAATTTGTTTATGTCCTCCATTCAGTACACAAACTATGCATTTATCACAAACTTAGTTTAGTAGAGAGTGGGGTATGCTATGTTATTTCAGTAAGTATTTAATCTATGTAATAATAAAACGGCCCTATAAAAAAAATTCAGTCTTACAAAGATCTCGTTTTTGCACTTCTATATTCCACTGCACTGATTTGTTCATAGTAGACATTAACAGTGCTGTGCGTCCGACAGACCGACCGACCGACCGGCAGACAGCAGCAAAGCAATATGCCCTCCCTTCTTCGAAGGGAGTCATGAATATATTCTAATTTAAGTTATGTTAGATATTTTTTTTTAATTTAAGGTTTATTAATCCTTTCCGTAGATATGCTCAAAATCAGAAAATCAACAATTTAAAGTCAGTGTTCGATTCAAGGGAGTAGATTATTCACAGAGTTTTATTTTTATCGAAAAAAAAGTATGAAAGTAACTATGTAGAACCCATACCTTTTACAACCTTTCTTTATTATTTAGACTAGTGTTTTAGCTATTGTACTGGGAGACATGAAATGCACTGTATATGAAAATATGTTGGTCGTTAAAACATAATACAACAAGCATGATACGTACTTTAAGGTAATATTTGAACCACTCTCTCGTGTAAAAGGTGGTGTACTTCTTAATTTCTTTATTTCTCTGTTCTTGATAATGCAAAATGCTTTCGTAGTACTCGCTAACATGTCCTTGAAATAAAAAAGGATTGTTTATTAACAAATATTAATGATGAAATCCATTTAAATGGTTTCAGTAAATCAATGTTTATTGTAATGCATGTCTGCAGGTATGAGAACATCACTTTGGACATATTTGGTTGTATACTTCGAGAAATGTCATATAATGTACACCAGGACACTGATTAAAGTGAAACCCTTATACAAAAATAACAATTGCATTATTACCCACTTATCTTGCTTTCAGAGATATTGCGAAAAATGTGTTTATAAATCATTGTATATGAAAGTAAGAGGATTCCTTTTTATTGATTATTCATACATTCACGTAATTTCAAAAAGTATTTTATTCAGTTCTGACAGCAATGTTTATACATGTATTTGACGCTAACATTGGTCCAGAAAGTGTTTGTTTAAAAAAAATTAAATTTGTCTCAAATAAAAAAAAATGGCCACAAATTTAAAACTTTTTTACATCGAAGGGCGATTTTAAATGGCCCATAAAATTCTAATGTCCATGATTACACTGTCACATTTACGGTGTTATTTCGTCTATTTGTATTTTAAATTTACTGTGATAATTGTTCTAACGTTATTCCATAGTTTCTTTCAGTTTTCCTATTCTGGACCCCTTCGAACACCCTCTTTGGTACCTCTACACTACCCGTATTTATTCACCTGAGTTTAGGCTTCCGTCCTTCTTAAAACCGGCTTTCCAAGATATAGCAGCACGAGCTGACTGTCCAATTTTACTTTCAAAGTTTATAAAGTTATAATTTTATATGGTAATACAGACACTGACTTCTGAGGTGAGTAACATGTTTTATTTACATTTTCTTCTCTGTTTGTTAATTAAACGGTCCTGGGATAACTTTGTTATTTCAACGTATTTCAATTTTAGTTTATTCGTGTGAATGTTCGTTCGTTCGTTTGTATAGTTTGTATGTTTCATAAATATTATTGTGAGTAGTATTAATTGATAGTATCGGCTCTAGTATTGTCGTATTTAGTGTCAATATGATTCTAAACTGTAAAGTAACTATGTAAGTGAAGTTATTGCGTGTAAGTGTAAGTTACATGTAAAATAATGTAATTATTGTGTACAAGCATTTAATACAAGTTCTGTAATGCAGCGCTGTGATGTTGACCCCATTATTATCCCATTTTCGTGTATGGTGGGTTATGTGGGTAATAACTTGTATGTAGCTTTGAGTATTTAACTGTGTAACTTAATGTGTTTACAATTGTTGTGTTATGTAGGTCCCGTTCTACTCCTACGTCCTACGTTCTACGTCCTACGTTCTACGTTCTACGTTCTACGTTCTACGTTCTACGTTCTACATTCTACATTCTACGTTCTACGTTCCACGTCGTTTCGTGTATGGTGTCAGTGTATGGTGCACAGTGTACGGAGTATGGTGTGATGTAGAAACTTACCGTTGTGTGGACAAACGAGAGCCAGAATACTATGTACAATGACTTGTCTATATAAATGTGAAAACGTTTTTTGAGTTTTTTGATTATTTGGGAATCACTAGGGAAAGAACCCGCAACAAATGGTGTTAGAAGTGGGATAAACGTAAAACAAGTGGGATAGAAGGAGAACAACAAGTGAGTTAACTTCGATGCGTGGTATCACGACGACATGTGGAATCCCTTTGATGTGTGATGTCTGGGACACGTGGTACGTCTAGGATCTCTGGAGTAATTTGGATCTTTGGAATCAAATCGACAGAAGTTCCAATGGTTTGGGCTACAATTCCAAAGAGACAACCTAACGGACTATCAAGATCCTGGAAGTCTAACTGGAAACGGTGCCTGAGGGAAATTTGATCTCCTGAGGAAAACCTTTCGTCATGCACTGGATTTGACCCAAGACATTGAACAGATTTCCTAATGTGCTAGTGTTTTCCTTTCTTGGCAAAATTAACATTTGTTTTCTTGACTTTTGAATAATTTAAATTCAAGTGAATTTCAAACTTTGATAATTTGAATTATTTATTGAATTTTCTCTATCAATCAAAGAAACATATTTTGTTGAAATATTACTTGTTTAATTTTCATTCAATTGTTTTCACTGTATTTTGTAGATTAATTGGTGACCTAGTTATTCGGGACCTAGAGGTCAGCAGTTGACGCTGATATTACAAAATTTCCAAATTCAGCACTTCAGTAAGTTGTGTGTCTGTAAGTAGTTAGCGTTTCCACATCGCGTATCGCGTAAGTAAATAAAAGTGCGTGTATAGTCTAGCAATTAAACTCAGGTGTGTAGAGACTGGTACGTGGGGAAATTTCTAATTTCAGTTGTCTTTTATTGTTTGTATTATTTTGTGTTTTGTGAATTTTGATCATGGCAGAAGCTTTGAAAGAGATTATTGATTACGGAGTATCGTTAGGTTACAAAGAAGATACTCTTAGAGAATTCGTTAGACACCAACAGGATATTCAGAGAGAAGAGCGGCTGGCAGAAAGAGAACGTCTGAAAGAGGAGCTAGAGTACCAGCGGATGAAGGAGAAACATGATAAACAGATGCAGCTACAGCAGCTGACCCATCAACAACAAATGGAAATGCTTCATGAGAAAGAGAAGTTGAAAATAGCAGGGGTTGAGGAGGTAAGTGTTAAGTTCAAAGGTCCAAAAATCCCGGCATTTGAGGATGGGAAGGATGAAATGGACAGCTATTTACGTAGATTTGAACGATATGCAGAGTTACAAAAGTGGCCGAAAACATCTTGGGCTATGAGTCTAAGTGCACTCCTTAAAGGTAGAGCTCTCGATATTTATGCATTATTACCAGCAGATGATGCTTTAGATTATGACAAGCTGAAGATAGCACTCCTTAAACGCTATGAGCTAACAGAGGATGGGTTTAAACACAAGTTTAGATCAGCAAAACCAGAAACGGGTGAGACATTTGTACAATTTTCTGTTAGAATGAGTAGTTATTTGCTAAGGTGGTTAAAAATGGCCAAAATAGCGGACACATTTGAGGCATTATTTGATTTAGTATTGCGTGATCAGTTTTTGAATACTTGTAACAGAGATTGACCTTGTTTCTAAAAGAGAGAACACCAAAGAGTATACAGGAGATGGCACAATTAGCAGATCAGTATCGAGAGGCAAGGATGACCAACGCTGCGACCCTCAGCAATGCCAAAGGCAATGAATTTCAACACCCAGCTAAGTTCCGTTCCGGAAATCACAAAGACTTTTCAGGTGAGAAGAAAATACAAAATTCAAACAAGTCATTTGTTCCAAAATCGGAAAGACGTTGTTTTAAATGCAACAGAATAGGGCACATTGCATCGGAATGCAGATCAAAACCGAAGATAGGAGCTGTAACAACGCAAGAACACAAGGATATCCATGATACTTCATCTAGTACAGAGGAACATACAGCAAAGGTAACATTTGTAAGCACAATGCCAACAGACACTGGAACAAATTCTTTGAATCTTGATGCATCAACAAGAGTTTCATCATCATGCTACCAACTGCAACACAACATGCCAGTATCAGCAGGTTTTGTTGAAGGTAAGCCAGTTACGGTACTAAGAGACACAGGATGCAGCGGCATAGTGGTTCGAAAAAGTAAGATTGATGAAGCAAATTTGATTCAAGATAAGTTTCAAACATGTATTTTGGCAGATGGTTCATCTATTAGAGTACCAGTTGCTTCCATCTTTTTTGACACGCCCTATATTACAGGAACATTTGAAGCATGGTGTATGGAGAAGCCAGTCTACGATTTAATCATCGGGAATGTAGCGAAGGTGCGAGCACCTGGAGATCCTGATCCTGAATGGTCAGAGGCAAATGCTGTTGAAACCCGTCAACAAGCAAAGGTAAAATTAAAACAGTACCCTCAACTAAAAGTTCCAGAAATACTTAAAGGAAACATCACTCCAGACGAGATTAAACTAGAACAACAAACCGATTACTCACTGCAGAGAATACGACAATGGGCAAGTTCCGGACAAGTGGTTGACAAACGAACTGCAACAATACGATGGTTCATGCTGAACGGGTTTGTATATCGTGAATATCAAACCAAGACTGAATCAGGTAAGTCTTACAAACAGCTTGTAGTCCCAAAGAAATTCAGGGAAATTGTCATGAAATTGGCACATGAGTCAATCATGTCTGGTCATTTGGCTATATCACGTACATCGTCAAGAATTCTTTCTGAATTCTACTGGCCTGGACTACAGACTGATGTCAAGTTGTTTTGTCGTTCTTGTGACATCTGTCAAAGGACCATACAAAAAGGTAAGGTTTCTAAGTACCCCCTTCAGAAGATGCCACTTATTGATGTTCCTTTCAAGAGGGTTGCCGTAGACATCGTTGGACCTATTCATCCCATTACCGACAAAGGGAATAGGTATATTCTTACTTTGGTCGATTTTGCTACTAGATACCCTGAAGCTGTACCACTGCCATCCATTGAAACAGAGAGAGTTGCGGAGACGCTCATAGACATATTTTCTAGAATTGGAGTTCCCGAGGAAATGTTGAGCGATATGGGTTCTCAATTTACATCATCAATTATGAGAGAGGTAAGTCGGCTACTATCGTTAAATCAACTCACTACTACCCCTTACCACCCTATGACAAACGGCTTGGTTGAGAGGTTTAACGGAACCCTCAAACAAATGTTAAAACGTATGTGCTCCGATCGTCCACGTGATTGGGATAAATATATTAACCCAGTATTGTTTGCTTACAGGGAAGTGCCGCAAGAAAGTTTGGGCTTTTCGCCTTTTGACTTAGTGTATGGAAGACACGTAAGAGGGCCCATGGGCATTTTAAAAGAGCTTTGGACAAAAGAGATAGACGATGATCAGGTAAAGTCTACTTATCAATATGTTTTGGATTTACGAGAGAGACTTGAGGCAACGGCAGAGATAGCCAGAGAAAATTTGGAGAAGGCTTCTCAACGACAGGCGAGGTTCTACAACAGGTCAACTCGAGCAAGGAGTATGAAGGTAGGAGATAAAGTTTTAGTGTTGCTGCCCACAGATTCAAATAAGTTACTGATGCAATGGAAAGGACCATTCAGCATCAAGAAGAAGATAAACAAAGTTGACTACCAGATTGAAATGAAAGGTAAATTGAAGACGTTTCATGTAAACATGCTTTAAAAGTACCTTAACAGGAATGATGATTCAAGCGAATCAGACCAAGATGATGAAGCTCTAGTCACATCTGCTGTTATTGACTGTTCTGCGGAGGAGGAGGATGATGAGTATGGTGCAGTGAGTGCCAGGGATACCAAAGGTGTGGACATCAATCCAGAGTTATTACCTGAAGACAGAAAAAAGGTAACATCACTTTTGGATCAGTTTACGGATGTATTGTCTGATAATCCTGGTTATACACATCTGATTGAACACGATATTAAGATTAACTCAAGTCAACCAATCAGAGTTAAATCTTATGCAATTCCATTTGCAATGAGGGCAATAGCTGATAAGGAGGTTGAGAAAATGTTAGAATTGAATGTCATTGAACCATCTGAAAGTCCATTTTCTTCTCCAGTTGTCCTTGTGAAGAAAAAAGATGACACTTTTCCTTTCTGCGTTGATTTTAGAGCTATAAATGCATGTTCACAGTTCGATGCAGAACCGATGCCAAATGCAGATGATATCTTTTCAAAGTTTGCCAACTACAAGGTATTTTCAAGGATCGACTTATCCAAAGGCTACTGGCAGGTTCCATTAACATCGTCAGCTAAACCCAAAACAGCGTTTCAGACATCCAAAGGCCTCTTCCAATTTCGAGTGATGCCCTTTGGTTTGGTGACGGCACCGGCGACGTTTTCCAGACTGATGCGTAAGTTGTTGTACGGAATGTCAAACATTGATAATTTTATCGATGATATCATTGTTTTTACAGAGGACTTAGATCAGCATTTGGAAGTTCTTCACGAACTCTTTACCAGGCTGAGAAACGCCAATTTGACAGCAAAACCTTCCAAGTGTGCAGTAGGGTACAAGAGTTTAGAGTGTCTAGGCCATATCGTAGGTGAGAACCAACTAAAACCAAACCCAGACAAGGTAAGAGCAATTCAAGAGGCACCAGCACCAAACACTAAACGTCAGTTAAGATCGTTTTTAGGACTCCTTAGTTTCTACAGGAAATTCATTCCCAATTTTTCGTCTGTTGCACTACCCCTCACTGATCTGACAAAGAAGGGGTCGCCAAATAAAATTATTTGGAATCAACCTCAGGAAAAATCATTTCAATCACTTAAGGCAATGCTTTTGAAATCGCCTATTCTTAAACTGCCAGATTTATCAAAACAGTTCATTCTTCAGACTGACGCATCAGATAGGGGAATTGGAGCTGTGCTGATGCAGTTTGATGAACATAGTGGTTTGAAACTTCCGGTGGCGTATGCAAGTCGAAAGTTGAAGGACAGTGAAAGTAAGTATTCTACAATCGAAAAAGAATGCTTGGCAATTGTTTGGGCCGTCCAAAAGTTCCACCTGTACCTTTATGGACGCGAGTTCCTCATCGAAACAGATCATCAGTCGTTAATGTATTTGAACAAAGCCAAAGTTATCAACGCTAGGATCATGAGATGGGCACTGGGTCTTCAATCATATAGATACCGAGTTATCGCCATTAGGGGAAAGGATAATCAAGGAGCAGATTATCTTAGTAGGCAGTGATGACTTGTGTCAATTTGTGTATATATGAACTCTTGTTTTAATCTTTCGTAAATGTGTGTTCTAAAGTATCAGCATACTTTTCCATAAGGGGGAGGTATTGTCACATTTACGGTGTTATTTCGTCTATTTGTATTTTAAATTTACTGTGATAATTGTTCTAACGTTATTCCATAGTTTCTTTCAGTTATCCCATTCTGGACCCCTTCGAACACCCTCTTTGGTACCTCTACACTACCCGTATTTATTCACCTGAGTTTAGGCTTCCGTTCTTCTTAAAACCGGCTTTCCAAGATGTAACAGCACGAGCTGACTATCCAATTTTATTTTCAAAGTTTTGTAAAGTTAAATTTATATCGTTAATACAGACACTGACTTCTGAGGTGAGTAACATGTTTTATTTACATTTTCTTCTCTGTTTGTTAATTAAACGGTCCTGGGATAACTTTGTTATTTCAACGTATTTCAATTTTAGTTTATTCGTGCGAATGATCGTTCGTTCGTTTGTATAGTTTGTATGTTTCATAAATATTATTGTGAGTAGTATTAATTGATAGTATCGGCTCTAGTATTGACGTATTTAGTTTCAATATGATTCTAAACAGTAAAGTAACTATGTAAGTGAAGTTACTGTGTGTAAGTGTAAGTTACATGTAAAATAATGTAATTATTGTGTACAAGCATTTAATACAAGTTCTGTAATGCAGCGCTGTGATGTTGACCCCATTAGTATCCCATTTTCGTGTATGGTGGGTTATGTGGGTAATAACTTGTATGTAGCTTTGAGTATTTAACTGTGTAACTTAATGTGTTTACAATTGTTGTGTTATGTAGGTCCCGTTCTACGTTCTACGTTCTACATTCTACGTTCTACGTTCTACGTTCTACATTCTACGTTCTACGTTCTACGTTCTACATTCTACATTCTACGTTCTACGTTCCACGTCGTTTTGTGTATGGTGTCAGTGTATGGTGCACAGTGTACGGAGTATGGTGTGATGTAGAAACTTACCGTTGTGTGGACAAACGAGAGCCAGAATACTATGTACAATGAATTGTCTATATAAATGTGAAAACGTTTTTGAGTTTTTTTGATTATTTGGAAATCACTAGGGAAAGAACCCGCAACATACACACATTCCTGCAGTTGTTGAAATGAATAAGATTTAGTTTCATTCAAATATCATTATATTTGATGTAAAAATTCTATTAATCACACCTATGAGATTTAGACCGTCCCAGTTGCTCAGTTAGTAGAGACCTTCTCTGTGATTCGAAAGTCGTGGATTCGGACCTCGGCCTTGACTGACCTAATTCGATAAAGGTAAGATTGTAATTGTTCCGTCGCCAAGCACACTCTGCATGTTAGAATAAAAGTTGTTGCTCTTTCTTGGCTCACTGGGTAAAGGTCTATAATTGAAGCCCTTCCCCCGTATATGAACAGGTCTCTGTATGAGAAAATAGAACTTTTCAAATTGGACGTAAAAAAACCTACAATTGATTTATCAATTAACTGAACAGTCTTGCTATATCTGAAACTTTTTTTCAAGATGATTGATAGTCATTTTCACCTGCATGCATCTTTCCATAACGCGAGTAAAAATGTCAAAGTCAGCACTTGTAGCAATAATTCAATATAAACAATTGTCAATACATGTATATTAGAGCTGTGTTGACAATATGGCCATGGGGAAACTTATTAATCCTTTCAAATGATGATGATGAGCAGATAACGTCTTTTCAAGGATACACTTATAGAGCATGCTGGTTTCAGCGCCATTATACTGAGATAAATTATCAGTTCCGATTATCGGTAATTGTGAATGTACTCAAAACATGGAACATTGTCTTACTTCATTATTCATTACTAATGACGGCTACAAATTGGAAATGATCAGTTGCAGCAAATTTAGAAAGGTAGCCGGAAGCATTTATAATTTTTATTCGCCTTCTCACAGGAGCTGTCAAACAGATCACATCTTAATTTTGATCAATGATTGCCCCAAAGTCACTGCAAAATCATTACATTAACCATACGTATTATAAAAGCAAAGCCAAGAAAATGTATAACAAAAATCTAAGATTGTTTGTCGATCTCCTGAAGGTGTAAACAAAACAAAGATATGTAAACGTCTATGCTCATTGTTTTCATAAGTCAGTCTCTATTTACATTTTTTGGAGATGACTTATATAGGCCATACCAGATGTCTAATCCAATTATGTAATCTGACATTTTAAGATATTGATTACATTGAATTAACTATTTACATTTATCTCAACAGGTATTTTAAGCAGGTTTTTTTTTTGTCTTTCATTGGAGGTGTATACAGAAATTAGCAATCAGTGATAATTTTGCATCAGAATAACTTTTCATGTTAAACAATTATATCCATTTAATCATATTCATAATCCTACATTTAATCATACTCTTGTGGGGAAGGAAATCCATTAGGCTATGGAGAGGGTGCTTGTTTTGTTTGAGATGGTCGCAAACCAGACGTTCAAATCGTGGTTATTAGACAGATTGCATAATTTTATTGAACTCTCCTAAGTGCACTTTCAAATATTCATGCAGGTATTCCAGTCACTGTCCGGGACTTTGTTAGAGTTTCGTGTTATCGAAAATTTTCAAATGGAACATTTAGACGCACGTGAAAGTTGAGGATCACAATATACATGGATAAGCTCTTCACTTAAATTAGATATGAATTAATATGTTTAAAGCGGAGAATTCAGAAATATATATGTATTTAAATGTTTGGAAAACCAATACAGCTTACCAAACCTCATCTTCTAAGAAGAGCAGAATTATTGTATAGAACACACGTTGGTTACACTTGATATACGATACTCCAGTTGTAATAAAAAAAAATTTAAATAATAAATTATTTGAATTTTTAACAACTTTATCTGAGTGACAATTTATTGGCTCCCTAAGGATATTGTTAGCAGATTAAATTACCTCCCAGTTGCCTATTATACACTGCGCTACAAGTGCACGCAAACGAACATTTATCTTTAATTAAACAGCGGATAAACACTTCACATCTCAGAACGATGAAATCTCATATTTGTGTACGTGCAGTGTGGTACGTTTTTGTTCTCCTGAGAATTAGACATTGGTCATATATCTTGTTACATAATATTGCAAAGCAGAATATGAGGGCACAGACGAGTGTAAAACCCGGATATAGAATAAATAATATACCAGTATATCTCGTGATGTTTTAACGTGCAAAATTTTAACTTTGGTAGATCAGAGGGATACTCAATATCCTTTATAGTTTAATTTGTATTTATTCAACACATGTTTGTTTGAAATAAAGATTTTATTTTATTTCAATGCAGTACTTATTCACTAGATTTCAAGGCTCAACATATTGAAGAGATTTTGTTAAATCTTAGATTCAAACGTTTTTAACATTTCATCAGTAGAACAAAGAAAAGGGGCTCAGAAAACCGAAAGTCTCAATACAGCTACTTTCTAATTCGACCATAATGTTGGTAACAAAATAATTAGATTTTAACCGGCAAAGTGCTTTAAGAAAAATAAAAACTAACATCAAATATGGGGTCCATCAGAAGCTAGATCATATGATTATAAATAGATCCACCAGGCCAGTTTTGTAATGATATAAAATCAAAATCAAACAAAACGCCAACTCATACAGAGATTCAAACTCAGCAATATTTGTAACAGATTTGCAACCAGTTTGTTAATGATGTGAAGACAATAAAATAATGGTTAGTTAAAATTTCTGCCAAACTAAAGCGCAAATCTGCAATTCATCACAATTTTCTTTTGCATTCACCCGCTGAAGACAAGGTCCTTCAAGGTCACACTGATAAAGCATGCAGACTTCTGTGCCATTTTCATAAATGGTCAACTGTAATAATCAAGAATTGACAGCGTATAAGATACAGAGCTTCGATGAATTAAGCGGGGATCCATATTTCATCAATTATTATCGCTAACGGCAAGATATCGATTCCGATCATTAACATCTCTGGGTAATGCAGAGGAGCATATAGTAGGTTATCGTTTTAACCTTCTTTGCAGAAGAAATATCAAATCAATCACACCTTCCAATCAGGCAAACTTGCACTGAAATACGTTTTTTTTTATTCAGAGAGTTAAAAGATGGTCATAGTTAAAATATTTACTTCTTATGATTATAACAATGTTAAAAATACTATAACGTCATGAATCCTGTTCTTAAATTTACTGTGTAAGCAATAGGTTATTTCCAAAATAGTCATTTTACATAAACTATTTGACTATGAAAATAATTTCCGACAGTAAAATTACAAACTGAATTTCCCCGTAAACTTAAGTGGTTAACTTATAATTAAAATCCTGCAAAATGTACGATAGCGTTGGATTAATTATTTGAAGTAACTTTTTTTAGTTAACGAGCATTGACACTTCCAAGCAAACTATGTGCTAAAATGCAATCTTATTAACCATAGTATGCCCAATATAAACAATGTTTACAGGAATCAAGAAGTTTTATGCATCGTCTTAAAAGTTTTGAGACAAAACTGTACAGTGGAATGAACGTAATCAATTATTTATAATGTGACACTCAAATTACTGGCCTGAATTCACAAACGTGTGTTTCATCAATGTCATTTTATTTGCTTCAATTCAATGCTGCGGTATTTTTAGTATCCCTAATCAGTGTTTCAAAACATAAGGCTAATGGACATTTAACATCACTATAGATGCTTTTTTGCTATTTCTCCGAAATTTACAAATATGATTTTTTTTTCAAAAATGTGTTTTTTTTTTCTAATCAAGGGATATCTTTTTAAGTCTCTGTCTCATGTTATGTTAAATGCCAAAACATATAGTGAGCCAGAATGTTATAATGTATATTGAAGATACTATAAGATAAAATCTGTGAATTGATTTTAAATTATAATAAAAATTCATTTGGCATGGAAGATCTGTTTGCTAATTCTGTAATACAGACAGATAAATCGATATTAATATGACATGATGCAATCTTTGCCAAGAGACATATCAAATAACTATATTAAATAACACGAAGTTTGTAATGAAAAATTGTCGTAGGTATAATGTCTAACGTCTGGGATTCCCTGTTCTGGTTTGTTAACCTCTTTTACTCTGTGTCTAAACAAAAGTTTTGAAATTTTAAATAAGCATTTCATGGCTTTTACTTGTTAATGCAACTTCAAGTCACTTTCATATTTTTCATTATTAGAATTTTAGGTATCAATTTCACTCTATCGTATTCAACTCTTGTATACCTCTCATGATTAATGTAGAGGGTATTTTCATGTATATGTACCGGTAATGTCTTTTGTTATTGTTTATTATTTAGAGCTAAGCGAGTTTTGTTACTTATCATATTGTAAGACTAACGGATATCACGAATTACATTTATAACGAAGCAAAAATCACACGTCCTTTGTACTTTGCTATAAGCGTGTTTTAGTATATATAGTTAAACAAGTTATGTAGACCCAGACATATTATTTTTTTTCTCTCAGAAGGCTGATTATGTCTTTTTTGTTTGAAGCTGATTAATAAAAAAAAATCATAAAGTTTTATCATGAGATAAACATTCCTCTTACAAACATGTTACTTATCGGAATGATTCACAAGAGAAGACAAACGATGCTAGAAAGCTAGGCATATTTTTGATATTGATTGATATATACCGGGTCATACTTTTGACCTTAGAATGGGTGTAGCTATTAATCTGGACCTTTAGGGCAGGGAGATAACGATTTTGGGGTAAAAGGGTCAGACATATGCGTGAAGCTGATAACAAAATATATCTTTGTCTTGCTACACTGTAAACTTTCAATAAAATATATGAAGATAACGACCAAGCTCAAAAGTCCATAAAACAATACAAAATAAGAGCAGAAGAAACGCAGACCACCAAATTATCAGAGATGGGATCAGGTGCCAAGGAGGAGTGAGCATCCCTTGCCGACCGGTCACACCCGCCGTATGCTTCTTGTCATGATCAGGAAATAACGGGAAAACGTCAACAATTCAATGTGCATATAATTGCTTACTTACATTCAATATGAAAAACGTAATTCAGCATTTGACTTAAAATGATCAATTACATTTCCTGACAAGACCATTGCACTGACCATAAAACTTACAAAATGATGACTTTAAACGAGATTGCTGCTATTCTTATTTCAGCGACTGAATACGAAAGCACAGTATTTTAAAATTATTTTATTCAATTATCGTGTTCATGTCATCGTTATTTTGTTACTACATGAAAAAGGGTTAATTAAAGCAATGTAAAGACAATTTACTCACTGTAAAAAAATAACTAGTTAAAGTCACCAAGAAAATAGTAAATTTACTGTCCATGCAATCACTACCTTAAAAGTAGTTTTACCAGATATTGGTATAAATTTACTAGATAAGATTAGTAAATTTAGAATTGATATAAGTAACTTTCACTAGGTATCTAAGTATCTATACGAATCCCGCTCCACAACTCACTATCTTAACCAGTAAAATGAAAGTTTACTAATCACGACCAACCCTTTACGAGGTAAACTAGTTAAATTCAATAGGTTTTTCTTTCAGTGCTCCTACTGCGAACTATATGTCAAAATAAACAGTACTTATTGTAACATAATTTCTTTCGTTTTTAGAGATGTTTTAGCCTAAAGCATATCTTGTAATCAAAAGATGTTTTATTTAAATGATACATATTTTTCAACTGAACATAAAAAACAGGATTAGGGTATGAATTTAATTACCGATGGCATCCAGGCGCGGATCCAGGAATTGAAGTTAAAGGGTAAACAAAGTAGGCAAGAAAAGTTTGGGGGCCGCCTATTGAGGCCCCCAGTGGGTCAAAAGGCAAACAGGAAGCATAATTTCCTGGATTCTAGAGATTTTGTAGGGTAAAAATAGGTCTTACCAAGTATAAATATTTACATTTTTAGACGAAACTGATTTACGTTAATTTTGACAATTTTACTGGGGGGGGGGATTACGGTAGGAATTTAATTACCGATGGCATCTGCATTCACGTGCTCTCTTAACAGTGGTATGTCCCTTTTTCATTACTTTCGGTTAACCACAGTGCGAGCGCAACATAATAAGCATTGTTTCTGAAAATGTGTATTGATAGGGTAATAACGCGTCGACAAGTAACAGGTTTTTCGGCTTCAGTATGTAGTATAAACAACATTCATATCAATTGAAATTTACGCAGTAACCTTCCTATTATATGTTTGTAACACATACCACCTCCCCGTTGATGTAGTTTGCATGGTAAGAATTCAATGCTGAAACCATAAGGTGTAGGTCTGACTAAATTGTACTGTAATTTTAAATAAAAACAACCAATACTTCAAATGTTACATTTTCTTTGGTTCTAACGTACATGTATAATAAAATTTATCTGCTCAAACCCTCCTTTAATCTTTCAACTTCTTAAACTGAAAGATTTTGATATATTTTAATGTTATACATCTTTACCTGTGCTATTTAAACTCTTATTTCAGGCAAGTATGGACCTAAATTCCTTGAAAGCCATTTAAGCAAGTTAAAACAACGATACGATGTGATATCTTTTACTGTGAATTTGAAATTAAAAATACTTTTACACATGCAAATTTGTGTAATATCACCTGGGTATCTCCTATTTAAACAGGTTAAAAAAGTATCGGCGTAATAGGCATCAAATCTGAGAACCTTGTGAGAGATTTTAAAAACTGTTTTGTTTTCTTCATACAAAGAAAGAAAAAAAGCGTGTGTCACATGTTGGAGATAATTAATGTGATTTTTATTCAAACATTTTTGTCGAACTTACGTTATTTGAATGTCAAAAAAACCTGTCATTTTATATCTCTGCACAGTAATTCTGCATAATAACATTGCTTATTGCCAAAATCAAAGTTTCGTGCATGTGAGAGCAGTAAAATGTTACTATGAATTTTAAGCTGGTAAGATGAGAATTTTTGATTTCTATAACACATAAACAATCCACATATATGTGCTACTTTTCATTTCTTTTAAGACAGAAATTATATGTTGAAAATTATATAGATACAAATCAAGGTATTTTTTAAAAAATTATTTAGATAAATAAAAACTCCACGAACATACTCAACACAAAGAAACATTATAATATATATGTTTCCATAAAACATTTCATACATATATAAACTCTTGTATTTTCAAACATAAAAGTATTATTTTAAGGCCCGTTAAACTCAAAGGCTATGCTTCCAAAATGTTGCCAGTAAACAACAAAATGAATTGATTTGATCACAATTATAAACATGCACAGAATTTGTACTATTTTCAATATGAAGTTAAGGAAGTGAAAGAAATGATTGTCGTTTGTTGGATAACTGATTCTTTCCGGATACCCTCTTTTACTTGCCATTAAGTTTATGAAACAGGACAATGAATATATAAACAATTGAAGGACTGTCTTAGTTGTGTCACACAGGTACAGATAAGAATGAACATACTTTAGGGGTATTTAATCTTAATTCATTTCCCCTTTTCTAATTGAAAGAGTGATATCTTTAACCCTTGTCTTGCAAGACTAAGAGTCAACATTAATATGACATACAACTTACAATGACAAAAAGTAACTTTGAACATTAAAGTAAATTGTTCTTCATAACAATTTTGAAAAAAATCTGAATATAAATGAATTGAAATACATATTTTGATCAATTAAAAAAAGGCAATTTTGATTTCAAATGAAGCAAATATGATCGTACAATTTTGTAGAATTACACAAAACATTTCAGCACCTGTATAAGTACATGTACATGCAAAAAACCTGACTATAGAAGATATGTCTGTTGATTTCATTTCATAAAAAAATTGTTGCTTTACATGCCAACTATAAAGTTATGAGACGAAAGACCAATATCACTACAATATAATCACTAAGTAGCTCTTCTATAGTGTGTCCTCTATTTCTGACGTTCTGTGCCATATAAATATTGGTGTGGTCCTATGGCTTCGTGAGCTAAAACTTCCATTTCCTTGGCTGGTCCAGTTCTTTGTGTCAAAGGCTTTACTGTCCAAACCTGTAAGCCAGATAGTCATATAAGTATCTGTACACAAAAAGTCATACTGTAAAATCGCATATTTTAGCGGGGGCAAATTTTCGAGCTTTGAGAAAAAAATAATGATTTATGGGGATTTGATTTCGTGGTTGGAGAAGTGTTCAGTAGTAATGCATATTAAATTTTACATTTCGTGGTGGTCATAAATTCGTGGGTCTCTGCAAGCCTCAAAAGCAACGAAAATTAAACCCCTTAGAAAATTAGTTATTTCACAGTATAAGAACCTGTTACAAATAGTCATAATAGAAAATTATTTCCTCATAACACTAAAAAGAAAAACAAAGAAACAAATTTAAAAGCATTCATCAGTCTAAAAAGTTATTAAACGATTCAAACAATAAGGAGAGCAAAAGACAATGTCTAGAAATGAGATTTAATGAGGAGCCATTGAGAAGTAAGCTTCCCCTAGTTGATTGATCACATCTGCCGTGTGCTGTTTGATATGATCGGGAAAACAAAAAACCATATTAATTAAATGTGCAAATATTGATAACATGCGTTAATTTTATTTATTAATTCATATCGGTCTCCTTCATATGAATTATTACATCCAGCAGATATTTGCAGCATTATTTTAGTGATTATTCATTTTTTTCCCTACTTTTTAAAGGTTTAATACTTATCGAACTGAAAAAAAACCTATACTGGCACCCCACGTCCAACAGTTGATTCAAACAAAAAACTCATCCCCTTTCTCTATAAATCTAAAGCAAACGCTAAATTACTTTGCGCTATGAATATGAGCATAATGCTATATCTTAACCTTTACTTACAGTTTTACTTTTTGCTGGATCAACTTGTTCGTATCGGGGTAACCGCTGGCGTCTCCACAGTCTGAAATTAAAAAGTCTCTGTAACAAGTTAGCATAAACATCTGACAAGTCCAAATAAATTTCTTACAAGCATTTAACAGTCCTTTTGCTTTTTGTCTTTTAAAACGAAGATATAAATTTATTACAAATTATTTATTCTGGCATAAAAAAGAGAACTCTTACCTGATATCTGGACTTGTATAAAGACAGTATGCTGTGTAAGTAGCAGAAAGGGCGGTACCTAATCCCACGACTACAACAAGGGGGAGGGTCTGGAAAAAAATCAGGAAACTTTAACGTGTTAAATGTATATGTTATGTAGGTTTCATGTTAAAACCTTTTTGTTGTTGTTTTGTTGTTTTTCTTTTTTTGTTGTTGTTTTTGTTATTATGACAAATACTATGCATTTATATTATGCATGTATATTATGCTGAATATATGCAAACATATTAACAGAAAATGTTTACATTGTTATATATTTTTCATTCAATTAAAATATAATTAATATATTTCTTTTACTAATACATACATATGTTGATTTATCGGACACTAGAATTCAATAATGTGGCTTTCAGAAGCACACGATGTGGCGTATATCTCATGTATTTGTAGTGTACAAAAATTGTACCTGTATGAAAAAGACAAACTGCCTCAAATACATACCATACCCCAATTACGTAGTAAATAACATTCAACACCTGTACAAGTGTGTTTGGTAGATATAAACAATTCAACATGTGCATTAAACTTTTAATTTCTTCTCAGTGTTGCAAAGGGGTATGCATTATCTTTTTTCTGTCGATAATGCACATTGTCTGTCCTTTTAGTACGTGAATGTATACACAACTTATAACAAAGAGCTTTATACCGGTATACAAAGTTATGATGATAAACTCTTTTTTTTAGGAAAACATAAACATTCGATGAAGATTGAAAATCTTTGCCTGGAGTTTGAATGTAAGGAATTAGACCTTAACCCTTTTCACAGGTAAATCAGGACATCTTCAATAAAACAATCATCAAAACATTGCATGTATTTTAATCAATGTTCAACTAGTGAAAGAAAAACATATTTTTTTATCTTTTCCCAATGCATCTTTAGGCGGATTACACAGACTCGCAGATACCAATTATACACATTACGCTCAAAGTGCACAAGTACAAACATTTATTCTAAATATAACAGAGGATTAGCTCTTAACAAATACTAATGATGAAATCCTTTATCAATGGATTCTATAAATCAATGTGTGTACGTGCAGTGTCGTGCGTTTTTATTCTTCTGGGAACTTGAAGTTTGGGCAAATATCATATTACAGGGAAGAGATAGAGGAATGTGAAACCAGGATATAAAAAAGTGCTTTCAATCTGATATCATGTTAAATACTAACATGCACATTCATTTACATCGGAAGGAAATTCAATGTTCTTATTTTTATTTTATGGATATGAAATATAACCATAATACTTTAATTGAATA